AACAATAATCATGACAAGTCAATATGTCAGCCAAATAGCGAATCCCAAATTTATACTTAAATATTAACAAACATTTTCATCATGAACGCAGGCGTACTTTTGAAAGCAACCCTGCTTCATTCATAAAACAGATACCCGCGCATCCCTAAAGCATTCTTGCCTACAAGCGTCTTTTCACGACGATGGAAAAGCTAAAATCATAAATTGAACAAATTTCTGATATTCCCTCTAGAAGGAAAAGGACAACCCGCAAATTAGAGTATTAAAATATTTAGAATAAAAGTGACAAATATTCTTAAAGAAAGTATTCAATATTCCTTTGATGTATGTATACTGTAATCCCGGTTAAGTATCACCTCCAACCCTCTTATCTGCCTGTGTCTTGCTGCATCTCACGTTTTTAATTTTTAAGGAAAACGGTAATTTTTAAATACATAGAAATTATTTTTGGTACCACCTGCTTAAGTACCACAATCGCTTATGTACTACAAAGCATAAAAATCTGAAATTGGTTTTGGCACTTAACCGGGATTGACTGTATTTGTGAAAGAAAAATATCTGAATTTTATTGCCCATATGCGATATATGTTTGTAAAGTGTGTATGGTTTCCCATGAAACAAAGTCCTTCGACACAGTGACTCTTTGACAAGAAAACAAAAACATGAGCTTCGGCCATTGGTTGTCTGTGGCAACGGAGATTTCCATGAAACAATGAGTGTGTATATTACAAACAAATGTTGCATGTAGACAAAAATAATTTAATGGGTATTTATCATTTGTTTACAGTACATAATATACATATATTATGTATAAGAATATTTACACGCTTGGTCTTTTCAAGAGGTGTACAAAATCAAACCCAGAAATCTGACTGAACTGAAGCAGTCCATTAAATAGATAATTGAGAATCCGAATTAGGTGTCGCATATGCGTGGTTGAGTATGGAAGAATAATTAATTGTTTAAATAAAATAAAATTTTCTATACAATAAAACTATATGTAATGCATTGACTAAAAGAAATTTATTGCGGTTTAATTTTGTAGCACGATTCGTTAGCCACCCTGTAAGGCAGAATATCTTCAAATTATATGCAAAGTCGTTTGCGCATTGTAAATACGAATCTGTAAGCGTAATTCTAACATTGAAATTAGCATTATTTTCTCAATTACATTGAAATAGCTCATCTGCTATTTTCAGTCCCCTGATGTTCGGTGGTGAACACGCTCATCGTTTTCAGTACCCTTCCAAATGTGGTGAAACGCCTCATCTTTCAGTCCCACAAGCATGAACTATTTTGTAATGGCCGCATTGTGAACCTTCTATGATATACGTTCTCTGATATAAGGTGCGAACTGTGCAGCAGACTTAGTTCTAATTAGAGTGTTGCCATGTAAAACAATTAAGCTATAAGAATAAGTTGTAATTTCGATTATCGAGCAATAAGTGTTAAGTTGTTGGAAAAAGATAAGTGTATAGCCATTATGTAGGGACTTTAATTTAACACTAGTGACTGAACTCAAGAGTGAGACAGGTAGACGATTTTCGAATCCGTTACAATTGGTGTCAGAAGTGGGATTGTCATAAATTCCCGGAGATAATTATTTGAAAATGGCCAAGTTTAACGATCTGAAGATTCTCAACTGAAAAGGAGCTGGAAACGTCGTTTGGCGACAAATGGATAAAACAGAATTACAATCACGGTGAGAGAGGCCATGAGGCGAAAACAATGTTGAGGAATATGTCTTTCACATGGAATTAAAGGAAGAGACAACAAAGATAGGAAGAGGCTCAATGCTCGTCAAAGACTGTGGACATAAACATGATTTTTGCTGCAATATCGCAGATGGGAAAGACATTTCAACGCAAATATCGATACAAATAGCAGAGGTGTCATCACAAATGTTGGCACAACACTCCCAATTGTCCTCGTTAAAAACGCAGTTGGAAGAGCAGTTCGCAGCGCAAGATGCACGTATATCAGCACAGGTGTCCACACAGTTGGAAGAGCAGTTTGCAGCGCAAAATGTACGTATATCAGCACAGGTGATCTCACAACTAGCAGAAGCGTCCACAGACACAGATGTGTTTTGATAGTCATGGACTATTTCAGCAAACGGCCAGAGGCATACGCAATTCCTAGCCAAGAGGCAGGAACAATGGCGGATGTATTCATCAACAATTGGGTATCGAGATATGGTGTTCCAATAGAATTACATTCTGATCAAGAGAGAAATTTTGAATCAGCTCTAATTCAGGAGATATGCCAGAAACTGGGTATCCGGAAAAGGCGTACTACATCCGCAGTCCGATGGCATGGTAAAACGATTCAGTCGATCTTTGGAAGAACATTTGAGGAAAGTTTTGGACAAGTCTCAAAACGATTGGGATACCCATATATTCTTGTTCCTGATGGCTTATCGGTCTGCTGTACATGAAACAACGGGGCAGACTCCAGCAAGGATAATTTTTGGAAAGAAGAATTCAATAGCATATTAGAAGACGAGATGAGGGATATTCATGCGATGGTGAGACTGCGCACTAAAATTATGAGCGATAAGATGAAAGCAAAATACGACAAGGCAATAAATTCTGAGGGTTTTACTGAAGGCGATTGGGTATTGTTACATAACCCACAACAAAAGAAAGGGTTATCTCCCAAATTACAGTGTAATTGGGAAGGACCATACCAGGTTATTAAACGACTGAATGATGTAGTGTATCGCATATAGACCATTGGAAGATCAAGGAATAAAATGAAGGTGGTTCACCTGGAACGGCTTGCAGCGTTTGGTACCGCAAATATGTCTAATCAGGACGATCAGACTTAGGTAGAGAACAGTGTGGCGAACACGAATACCAGAACAAATCAGGATCGACGATAAACTGCCAGAAGCAACTAGAAGTTCTAGTAGCGAACTTTTGTTAAAAATTTACTATATAAGGGCTGCCGGATTGTGCAGCAGGCACAGTTCTAATTAGAGTGTTGACGTGTAAAAAACAATTAAGCTATAAGCAATAAGTTGTAAACTCGAATATCGAGCAATAAGTGTTAAGTTGTTGGAATATAGAAAAGTGTATAGCCATTAAATTGGGATTTTAATTTAACAAACCAGTGATCGAGCTCAAAAGTGAGTTACAGGTAGACGATTTATCGAGAAATCCGTTATAGTATATTACAGAGAAGGTTCAATTGCTGACCAGCCTGTAAATTGTTAAAACCTAACAATATTCGATGAGTGGATTGCACTACAGCTAGCTCGTAAGGAGATATTTCAACAGTGGCGCGTGCACAGAGCTGAGGATTGAATGAAAATTATGCTCAGAAGTTTACATTGATATTACAGCCGAATGTTAGCTTTTTGGCTTATATTTTAATATGTTTATATGCAATAATATTTATTGAAATGAATTTCATCTTGCAAATTTTTATGCATACATACAAAACTGATTAGACTCTAATTAAATTATGTAATTTTCAAAGAGTCGAAGTATTGACGACTGCTTGCGCGACGAATAGCGTCACAACATTGTGTTGTTGGTAGAAAATCCGAGCTGCGTCGAAAAAAAATAACGAACGGCCGTCGATTGTCTCTGTCTACGTATGTTAAAATTGTAAAATATTGTAAATAGTCAAACGCTTTGTTGCCATTTTTGTCACTATGCATTCTGTGTGTTACGGAGTAGTCACTTTTCGCTTCTCGAAAGAACATCAGAAATTTGTTCAATTTATTATTTTTAGCTTTTGTCATCGTCGCGAAAAGACGCTTGCAGGCAAAAGCATTCTCGGGGAGATGCGGGGCTATCTGTTTTTATGAATGAAACGTCGTTGCTTTTTGAAAGTACGCCCGCGTTCATGAAAGAAAATGTTGTTGTTGTGTGATTTACTATACATTTGAGTTTTGGCTATTTTATATTGACTTGTGATGATGTTGTTTTTGTGCGAGTTACATATAATATTTATATGTGTATGCATATACATACTTATTGGTTTGTGTATGCATTATATAGTGTATTGAAAAGTGATAAAATCGTGATTTGAATTTCGGAATACATACATTAAAATGCGCATGTATATTTATACATATGTACATATGACTTTATAAGATTAATATGATGAAAGATGAATTTATAGGTTTTAATATATTTAATCACTAGTGGTAGCAATTATAATACAAAATATTTATTAGGAATGGATATTATCAAAATTAAATAGTATTATTAAATGACCAAAATGGCTATAAATTGTATTTTGAAAATTACAAAATTTAATTAAAGTCTTATCAGTGACCACTGTTAAAATTTCCTTCTGAGCTAGCTGTGGTGATATCGAATTTTGTTCGGTTTTGACAATTCACACGCTTGTCTGCAATTGAACCTTCTCTATCATATACGTTCTCTGGTGGCATATTCTTTGTTTTTTGACTAGCGCAATTTAGTAAGCACTCTCTAGTCACTTTTTGAGACATTTTGAAGTAAATTCTCAGCTTGTGACATGTTATTATTCACGATAACTTGTCTTAAATCACAGAATACTGTCTCAAATTTATCACTTGATAGTAAGGGGTTACAAAACTAATAAGAATTTTTGTTTTCAATTTTAAATATACAGACACTTCACTTATAGAGATCTTCATAGTTATTTATTAAATGACGATGTTATATATTGGAAACAACTCTAACACGTAAAAATAAAAAGAATATCAATTTTAAATAAATTTCTTAATTATTGTATATCAAAGTCTACATTTTATATATATTTTTATTGATAATATATTTTTTGACTGCTTTATAGAAAATTTAATATATATTTGTTATCGAAATTTTTTTTCATTAATGTTTTATATACATTTCTTAATATCGAAATGTAATAGCTGATTAGATCTCTTCATTTTCAATTGAGAGATTTGTGTGACTGTCACGTACTAAAGTTTAAAATCGTCTCAAGTTACAAAAATTATCTGACAACATTAAAATTATCGAAACAGCACTTATTGCCTGTCTAAATGCCTGTTAACTTGGTCAAAATATTACAATCGCAATCTGCTGGTAACTTTATGTTGATGTGTTATACACAGACAAACTGTTGAGTTATAAACAATAATGTAAAATGCATATAAAGCAGGTAAGATATTATTATATGAAAATAAAAGGGATTTTAAATTTCGGTATTACAGATTATAATACAAGGATTTAAAAGCTACAAAGACCAAACAGTGGTCGAACCTTTTGACAAGAGACATAATGTGGTTGTTGGAAGGAACGGTTCTGGAAAGAGTAATTTTTTTTATGGTAAGAAAATAAAAAAATAGCGGTTAGTTGAATTATAGTTCATACTTGAGTAAGGTCACATATTTCGAATGCAGGTGTAAAAGTATCTTATATCGTTTAGGCCCCCCAACTAAGGAGGCCTCAAAAATTAAATTGTTTTTTAAATCTTATTTCATCTTACGCGAAGATTACAAATCGGGGGGCGGAATGTGAATTTTTTCAATAATTTATGTATATAAGTATATACAAACTTTGCACAATTTAAAGTGCGTATATTAGGTCGTATATCTTTGATTTATAATGAATTAGATTCATATATTTTTAACTTCTATATCCAGTAACACTTTTCCTAATTCTTTTCACACATCAGTTTTAACTTAGTACTTAGTACAAAAATAACTTTAATACAATATTTAACTTTTGTTCAATTCTTCTTATTAACACGATAACAAAGTGGCATTCGGCTGGGATTTAGAATAGCCTCCTCCGAATTCGGAGTTAAATGGGTGTGTACAGATAGAGGAGGTTCTACAGATTAAGAAAATATATATATTTATCTAAAGTGCGTGTTTCTTTGATTATTATCCTACCTTAATGGTAAGAAATACATTACTAGTTTTTCGCGTAGAACTCTTCGGTATTGGCGGTCGATTCAACACCGGGGTGTCGTCAATTCGGGAAAACTTTAGTTTTTTTTTCTAAATTTTATTGGATTGGCCAGGGTTATTTTTTTGAAGCGCAGCCGAAGGCCGCCAGTGCAAAAATGAGTTTGACGCGATTGAATTATGAACACCCGGTGTTGGACCGACCAGGCTTAATTTTTTTGAAGCGCGGCCGAAGGCCGCCAGTGCAAATAAAAAATCTTAACAAAAAAAAGCAATGTTAAAGAGAATATATCACTCTCTATAAACTTCAATTTTTATTAAGGATAATTATAGTAACTGAAGATTTTGAAAATTTGATATATGAATACATATGGCAGAAAAATATAGTAAATCAGCATCATGACCCATTTGTGAAATTATCAGATGCAATAAGACATACGTTTAAGCCATAAAACCTTTTTCTTTTATTAAAATGGAAAATTAAGTTCATAATATTTTGTAGAGGGTGATTGGGTTTTTTTTATTTATTTTGATTGCTTTCATCCGTTTGGATATGGCAACACTTGTTAGCTGTCAACATGGAACCCATTTGTTATTGTTCATATTACGAAAATTGTGTAAAAATTAAATGCTTATTAAAAGCAAATACTTAAATATTTAATATAAAAGAAATATGTGCCTTCGGATGCGCTCCAATAAAATAACCCTGGTTAATCCAACACCGGGCTGACGGCAGTTCTCCTTTTTGTGTTGAAGGCCTTCGGCCGCGCTTCAAAAAATAACCCAGTTCTTTCGCGTGGAACTCCGTTTTTCGATGGCGGTTGTTGTTGTAGCGACAGAATTCTGATGGCGGTTGTTGTTGTTGTTGTTGTTATAACGATTATCTAATCCCCGTTTGGGTGATAAATTCTAGATTCGTTGTCGTCGAGGTCATCTAACGGAAGGCCCAGGAAACGAGCTGTTTCGACGGGGTCGGACCATAGGGAAAGGGGTGTTAGATGAGTGGGGTTTGTAGGGCATGCAAAGAGGTGGTTAGTGTCATGAAGTTTTAGATTAGTTTGTCGTCACTGGGCAACGCCTAGCAGCAGGGTTGCTCTACTCCTGACCCGTGCTGGCATCGAGTCCAACCCGGGCCCCGAGGTATTCTACGCTGCGTATGCGCAAAAGGCTCCATCCAAATTCCACCTCGGTTAGGTGCAATACATGCAATGGATGGAGCCATCTTAAGACCTGCTCGGGCCTTAAGACACACAGGGAGTTGACCACGAGTTACGTGGCCCCATGCTATCAACGCAATAATGCGACATCTGCCTCAACGGCCGTGCAACCTGCACCATGTTCGCGCACTGCGCTGCCACTCCAGTCGAGTGGCCAAAATAGGACCTCCACGGTCCTATGGAGCCACAAAGACAGCACAACTCCCAATCTGACCAACCTCCCTCCCCACCCTTCATCCAGCTCCAATCCCCGTGCGAGAAACACAGCACCTCTGGTTCCTCGCACAGTCTGTTCCGTGTTCAGACCATAATACGCCGGAATGTCACATCAGTAAGTGCAATCTTGTACTGGCTGGTGTCTCTGTCGTGTTCTGGCCGCGCACCACACAGGTGGAGTGCGTCGTATGTTGCCTCATGCTGTGGGAGTCTGCCCCGCAATCACAAAGTGGCGTCGCCAACCAACACCATAGTGCGACACCACGCGCGATAGCACGCTACCCACACCCACCACCCACTCACCCCCAGGATCACGACTGGACACCCGCGACAAACGCGACTCTACAATTACTGCAACGGACTCCAGAGCAAGATCGAGGAGATAGTTGCATTATAGCCGGGAGCGCGTAACGATAGCTGCGGTCAAGAAACCAAGTTAAACAGCCGCTCAGATCTTCTGAGTTGTGCAGTTTCAACGTTTACGTAAGGATCGCGAGCGAGATAATGGTGGAGGCCTAGCCTTCATTGCACAACACGTGCAATATCGTCTATCGATGTGACATCGACCGCAGGGACACTACCCTAGAATGTCAGGAATAGCTGTCCGGTCAGGCGATGTCGAGCTCGAAATAATTTAATATACATCCCCAGTTACATGTTCAACAGGATATCACCCGATATAGATGCGCTACTTCGTGGTGAAACCGTCTGGTGCTAGGCGATTAACGCGCATCACGATCTTTGGCATTCCTGCCTGTCAAACGATCGTAGGGGATGGAGCGGCGGAACAGATAGACGATCGACATTCTGCACAATGAATGACGAAGCCCCACCAGAATTATGGGCACCTGTAATAGCTCGCCAGATATTACCATCGCTAGCGGTGGTCTGATAAATAGTATAACCTGGCGACCTATGCTCAACTCTTGCATCAGACCATCTGCCCATAATTATCTCGATCGAGAAACCTCTGACTTTATTTCTGTGGATAACCGCACCTATGTTAACTTTAACAAGCTAACTGGGTCGGCTTCACAGAATTTACTGAGAGCACCTTCAACGCACTATCCATTCCTACGGACGTCATCGTTGGCGAGCGTCAATTCCGCAAGGTGATCGCTGCTGCTACAGCTCGCTTCATACCGGCTGGAAGAATAGCGGAACTCCGCCCTAATTTCCCAGCCGAAGCAGCTGTATTAGCAAATGAGCGCGACACCTTACGCCATGCCGATCCCTGTGATCCCGAATAAGGGATCTCAATTTGGAGATTCGGCAAATGGTAAACCACCATAAGCGGACAAAATCGATAGAGCACCTGAAGTCCTGCAACCTCCCACGGTGTGAGTAAGCTTTGACTACTGTCAAGGCCCTGTCAAATCCGAGGAAACATGACGATCGGGTTGAAATCCAATTCGATGGCTATGCCTCTCGGACCCGAAGAAGTGCGCGAGCTACTTAGCCGGCAGTTTATACTGCACCTTCGACCGACAAGGCCAAACGATGTTACCCAGACGTTGCGCAAAATGCCAAAGACTGCGCACCACTTACTTTCACCGATGAGGAGGTTCAGAATGTCATCAAAAGGCGAAATCGTCTAAATCCATCGGCCCTGACGGAATAAACATGCTGATGTTAAAACATCTAGGCCCAACGGGAGTAATTACCTCACCAAGGTCCTCAACCTGTCAATATCCTCTTCAAATACCCGATGTGTGGAAAGTCGGAAGAGTGGTCCCACTACTGAACCTGGAAACCCCCAACAAAGGGAGTCTTATCGCCCGATAACTCTCCTTTCCCCAGTAGTGAAGCACTTGAGGCCTTGTTACTCCCGTCATTCACCCACCACCTGAGCCTAGCAGACCATCAGCATGGTTTCCGTAAGTGCACAGTACCACCACGCACTTAGCGTCATAAACGCCCAGATAGTTCATGGCCTGAACCAGAAGCCACCTGCGATAGGACGATCCTCGTAGCGTTGGACTTGTCAAAGCTTTGACACAGTCAATCACGCAACGCTACTTGAGGACCTGGAACAATCAACGCTCCTCCAGGGTTGAAGCGGTGGACCATAACTACCTGAGCGGTCGACACTCATCCGTACTATTTCGAGGTCAAAACTCCAACTCAGGAAAATTAAACAGGGGTTCCGCAGGGCGGTGTCCTCTCCCGCTACTGTTTAATTTCTACATTTCGAAACTCCCCAGCAAGGAACTAACACTCTCCCCACTAAATCCACAGCGACCATCTTCACCAATTGGACGAAGGAGTACAGACTGGACCTGAACATTTCAGTCGACAAAAATTCCGACAGTAAATAACCCTAAATTTTAGGTCACTTTGACAGTCTGTGCTCTTTCACTCTCACGACCGCGGTAACTGCCAAGTACAGAGCCGCAACAAAATCCTCAAGTCGCTTGCCGGCAGCTCATGGGAAAGGACAAGAAACGTTGTTGGCAACATACAAGGCAATCGGCCGGCCGGTCCTCATATGCAGCCGCAATATGGTCGCCTGGATGTAGTGACACGCAGAATAAGAGCTTCAGACTTTGTAACACTGACCGGACTTCACGGGTGCTCTTGATGTCCCCAATCGAACACCTACCAGCGAGCCCGTATGCTCGGTTAGAGAACATAAGTGAGCTCTCTCCAAGCAGTTTCTGCTGGGATGTTTCGCAGAAACCACCCTGCAGATCTTGCAGCGGAAGCCTCCTAAACATCAAGAGGTCCTTCCTTGACTACGTCGACGACATCAGACAGCACGTCGACCAGACTTCGGACGAAACTATCCAGACAAGCACTGACCGCCATTCAAGTGGAGCCATTACACCCTCACCGACCTCCCTTTCAGTGAATGGCGTAATACGAGTCAAACCACCACCATTGCAGACACAGAGCTCGAGTTGCCTCGCGAATCTAGAGTGACCCTCGCGCAACTTCGTTCTGGATACTGTAGCAGGTTAAACTCCTACCTATCCAGAATAGA